TGGAATTACATAGCTTATTTGTCCTGAAAACATGGCAGCTTCTTTGGGCTGTGGGCTTTGGACTATCTCAGGATTCCACAGTTCCCAGAGCAACAGGGTTGTGTTCAGCTAAATCAGGCTTCCTCAACCTCGGCCCTCCAGATGTTTTGAGACTACAGTTCCCATCATCCCTGACCACTTGTCCTGCTAGCTAAGGATCATGGGAGTTGTAGGCCAAAAACACCTGGAGGGCCAAGGTTAAGGAAGCCTGAGCTAAATCATGGTGCACATGGGACAACTTCTTCAAGCACAATGAAACGTCCGCTCCCTCTCCTCTTCCTGTGAACCTCCACTACTCCTAAATATCCTCCAGATACTTGGGGGAAACCCCACAGCAAATTTTAGCAGTTGCAAGTGGGGGGGGGGCGGAAGGCTGGGGCAGTGTAGGGGATGGAAATTCTGTTGTGCTTGTGGAAGTTGCTCAATGCACACAATGATTTAGTTGGATTCAACCATTGGAACCAACCTTTGAACATTTTTGTCTGAGCTATGATTGGTCTTCAGGACTTTGGCAAGGGGAAAAAAGCACAGCTTGATTCTGATACGGCTTGTATAGCTGTTCAACAATAGCTTCTCCCTTATCAGACAGGAAGGTTCACACTGAAATTCAAATTGAAACTACTGAATATTCAGTGCTTTAACTGTCCACTAAGAGAGATTGAAAGCAGCTGATATTTTCATGTTGGGATTTTTTTCCCCTTTTAAAATTAGTTTAGATTTTTAAAGCCATTTTTATGGGTTTGATCCTTAACATAGTTGTCATCTTCAAACTGCACACAGTATACTATTTGTGATCAAAATATAACAACACAGCTGAAATGAAATAACGCGTGGACTTCATCAGCCCTGATTTATTCTTTTAAATTTCCCTGTTCATTTCTACTGGGCTAGATAATAGAGTAGTTGAGCATTGCTTTGAACTTTTTGTGTGTGTGGTTTTAACTCCTAAACTTCTCAGCTGTTTCCACTTGTGATAATTGCTATATTGACATGAAATGAAAGACTGCCCTTGATCCAACATTTTAATTCACTGAAGAATATTGCATTCCTAACCTCACATTCAGCCGCAGCAGAAAGAAACACAAACTACTAGCATATTGATTTTAAATTTAATTCATATTATACTGTCAAGAGGATACACCTATTGTTGCTATCACTTGCTGAAAAATATGGCCTTTTCATTTCCTGAAATAATAGATCTTTCTACCAGTTCTTTGGTTGCCTTTCGTGAAATTCTGTTCAGATTTTTTCTGGCCAACACATTCCAAACAGATAATATATATATTTTTGGGGTCTTTGAAATAATGCATATTCCATGTCCATTCTACATTTTCATACTGTGTTGTCTGCCTCACAAAAGCATGCTTGCTATTCATTCTCACTCATGAAGTGGGGATTTTCAGTTTTGCTTCTTTCTCTCTTCACCCCTCATGGGGTATTGGCACTGAAGGTGTCATGCTCAAGGAATGTTTGGTAAGGTACAGAAAGGCAGCAAACAAAGCTGTTGACTGCAATCACACGCCAGATGAAGAAAGAGAAGCATTAAATAATGTTAAGTGTGCAAAATGCATTTGCCAGTATTTTTGGAGACAATTAATTAACTGCCTTACTGGTTCAGAACAAAGGTCCATTTAGGCTGCAATCCTATACAGTGGTACCTCTGGTTGTGAACGGGATCTGTTCTGGAGGCCCGTTCGCAAGATGAGCAGAATGCAACCTGTGTTCACGGGTCACGATTCGCTGCTTCTGCAGATGCGCGTGACATCATTTTGCGCGCATGCGCGAGTGGCAAAACCCGGAAGTAACCCTTTCTGGTACTTCCGGGTCGCCGCAGGACGCAACCTGAAAACGCTCAACCTGAAGCAAACGTAACTTGAAGTATGACTGTACTCATGTTCCTAAGTCCTATTGAAATCAATGGTGCATACATTCGAGTACACATAAGTAGGATTTCACTGATAGTCCACTATTATATCTGACATCTAATTGGTTTTGGAAGGTCAGAGTCTGACACTAACATATGGAATTAAGAAGTATAGTAGCTCTGTAAACATGGACAGAGTTCTTTCTAATCCCCTTTCAAGGTGGTTTAAGTTGTGTTTACTCTTTCCAAACCATCCATAATTTTAATAAATCTCTACTATATTACCTGTGAGTTAACTGGCAGAAGGCAGCTCATGGAACTACGCTTTTATTGTCGTCATCTCTAAAGTACCCTATACCCCCCCCAAAAAAAACCCCCCACTCTCTCTGTCAGGATGCTGTCAGCAGCTCCTGGCTGGTAGCCCAGGAAATTATAAAGACAAGGGAAACTTTCTTACCATCCTTTTTTATTTCAATCTTTACAGAAAGAGGCTATAGAACCCAGCCTCTTGGATAATGGTGTTGTCCCGAGTGAATCTCCACCGCCCCCTTCTCTCCCACTTCCTCATTCATCATTCTTATCGTCTCCTCTACGAGTGGTGCTATGTGCCCTCTGTCTTTGAGTTCTTTGCTCTCTTACTTTTAAGGCTCGCCAGGTTCTGGGAGATGGAAGGTCTAGAATGCTTTTTAATAACGTGTCAGCTGGGTGTTGTTCCAGCTGTCCCATGATTTCCCAGCTTTCCCCCTCATCTGCCTCTGAGCTGCTACCTCCCTCAACCCCCTGTTGTAAATCTATACTGTCTTCCTCTTCCTCCTGCCTGGAAGAGTTAGGATGGAGAGGCAGTCTCCACCATTCCTCCTCTGCCCAGTCCCCGACACTCTCCAAGGTCAGTTCCTCACCCACCCAGAAGTGCATCATACAGAGCTGCAGTGGGAGGTGGGAATCACTAAACACTGGACAAAGGGATCTTGTGTCAGTAGACAACTAGAGTAAGATGCCTTCTCCCTATTTCAGGCAATGCTCTCCTTGTATTACAGTCTCACCCTCTCTCCTGATAAGCACAGCACTGCTGTTGATGTGGTACCCTTCCCTGGCAGCTACTTTCTTGAATGTGGATGGGGGGGAAACCCCCGGAGAAGGTGTTCCAGAGGAAGGAAGGGGAAAGAAAGATACACAGCCATCAAATACCATCTCTGAGCAGGGCCCCGGCTTACCATTAGGCAGAGTGAAGCAGCCACCTCGGGGGGCAGATACTGGGAAGTGGGCAGCAGCCATGAAGGGTTGAAGAACAGAGCTGCCTTGCCGCCCCTGAGTTGTTTGCTCACTGAACTGTCTTGGAGAACACTGTCCCATCATCAATGCTGAATTAAGGTTCAATTAACAGTCCAATTGGCTTGTTTATGTAGTGTGTGGGAGAGGGCAGACTCCATCTTTTCCTTCAACGCAGTCAGCAAAACATATTGAGCTTGCCTCGCCTCATGGTCATCTTTATTCTAAAGAGCCGCAATTTCTTGGCAGGAAAAGATCTCTGTCTCCTCCCCACAACAATCATCTTCTCATTCTATTATATCCTTAAAAAAGAAAAGAAAAGCGGGCGGCCACAACTGCGCACAGTTCAGTGTTCCAAGTGTTGCTGCAGCATAGATTTATAGAATGCAATTACAATACTCGCTGCTTTATTTTTCCAAACCACTCTAATATTTCCCAACATTTTCAGTGCTGCAGCACATAGAGAGGTAATTTTTGGTGAGCTAATAGCATCACAACTCTAGGATTATTTTTGTGTGGGGTCACGGACAATTCAGTTCACAACAGTATTTAAGTTAAATAAGCATTTTGTGGCCCTTTTGGGAGAGATGCAAAATAAGCTGGAGTTTATACTTTAAAAAATAATAATTCTTCAGCTGGGCAAAACTTCCACTTTTTAAAGGACATAATCTTGCCATTGCTTCCTTGCTTCTGATACATAGGCTTGTGTTCTTTGGCAAAAATCACCAATCAGAGCTGCAGTAATGATGAAAAACTATCTAGCTCGTAAGGTGGTGGAATCCATTATCTGAAATATTTTTGTTCAAGATGCTGCCAGAATGGTGGCCTTACTTATGTGAACAGAAATTTGGATCTTATAGCCATCATGAGGGATGGACATGAAAAACCCACCCATCCTTCTCTCTACATGGTGATGTTGTTGTTTTGAAGTATGTCTCACTATGGCTAGTCTGAAAAAGATTTATCAATTAGGAAACAATAAAAAAAACCAGAATCCTAGTTTTCCCTTGAAATTTCAGCTTTCCACTACAATTATTACAATATCAGTGGGTCCACACTAAATAAAACTTAGTTGACTACCATCTTTTGTGCCCACTTGCAGATTGGGCAAGCTGCATGTGTTATCTTTTCAGAAGAGATGTATAAGAGTGCAACCTGATTTAATAAATCATGAATTTATAATTCATGTGAGTTTGGGCTGATTTGTCTGTTGATTAAATTTATGCAAGCAAAAATAATCACTGTGAAGCCAAAAGTGTACATCCTTTGTTATTAGGCGGTGTACAGGAAACATTTTCTTCCTTTGTGTGAGTGTGTGGGAGAATGTCTCTTTATTGTGGTGCTTGCATCTTCAAGTTTCCAAGGACTGCTATTAAAAACAATTCTGTTTTTTAAAAGATCTGCTCCATGATTAATCATGGTGCTGTATCTAATAATTGAAACAAGAGTAAGACATCAAACATTTTACTGTAAAAGCTCAAAGACAGCAACAGCAGCAAAACTTACTTCCTTGGTCTAAACAGTGTTTCATAATCCTGTCCTTAAACTGGCAAGGCTCTGAGTTGTGCTAAAGGTAGACTGCCTACAAAGTTAACAAATGGGGCACCATTTGTGTTGATAACAAGGTTAATGGATCAATCTGGCAAATTGTTTGATTGGACTATTACAGGGATGGAGAACCTGTGGCCTGCCAGATGTTGTTGGACTACAGCTCCCATCACCCCTGACCATTGGCCATGCTCTCTGAGTATGATGGGAGTTGGAGTCCTATAACATCTGGATGTCTTCAAGTTGCCCGTCCCTAATTTTTGTAATCCCTTTTCTCTAGGTGGAAAGTCTACAAGTTGGGAAGGAGGGATTCGAGTACCTGGTCTTCTCCGCTGGCCTGGAGTGTTTAAGCCTAGCACACATATCGATGAGCCTACAAGTAATATGGATATATTCCCCACAATAGTTAAACTTGCTGGAGCATCACTGCCCAGTGACAGGTATGGAATGTTGTTTCATTTGTCATAAAAGACGTAACATCCAAAAATAACAAACCTCTGCTGCCTTTGAAGGCACTTTCAACAGTCCTAAGAATAACTTGTTCTCGGTAATATTTTATTTTTTTTTACCCCTGCCCGTACGGGCCAGTCTTGCCAGACTCTAGGGTTGTGCGCCCATCTCACTCAAGAGGCCGGGGGCCAGCGCTGTCCGCAGACACTTCCGGGTCACGTGGCCAGCGTGACAAGCTGCATCTGGCGAGCCAGCGCAGCACACGGAACGCCGTTTACCTTCCCGCTAGTAAGCGGTCCCTATTTATCTACTTGCACCCGGGGGTGCTTTCGAACTGCTAGGTTGGCAGGCGCTGGGACCGAGCAACGGGAGCGCACCCCGCCGCGGGGATTCGAACCGCCGACCTTTCGATCGGCAAGTCCTAGGCGCTGAGGCTTTAACCACAGCGCCACCCGCCTTAAACCAGTATATGTCAGACATTTCTTCAAATAATAACTGGTTCATAGTTGCCACTTCTTTCTTCACATTGTTTTGAAACCTTCTCCATTGTCTCATTCTGAACTTCATTGTTTCACCTACATAACAATTGCTTTACTTAAAATGACCCCAAATCAATTGCTCACCTTAGATGTCTCACTACTAACAGAAGATGATGTATACTGTGAGGCAAGTGGTCATATATAATGTGTGAATATCTCCATATTTGTAAAGCGGGCTGAATGGCCCTGTGGGATGTTCTATGCACATAGGTCATCATAACTGCTTCAAAGGGTTTGGGTGTGTGTGTTACAGTCAAGCTGCCTATAAATTTTATTAAACAAATAAATACAATCAGACAGTAAAACTTTTTCTGGGCTTCAGCAAGCAGGTATTGCTGAAATTCCTCCATATAACTTCCTGCACATTTAGCATGGGAAGTCAAGGACAAGAATTGCAGTTTACCTTTCTCTATGATGTGTTGAATTTCTATGGAAATTGTATATACATTTTACTGTCTTATGTCTTTTACTAGTATTTGCACAACGTAGCAGTCAAGTCATTACTTCATTATAACTATCATTTCCTCACTGGGGCTATGATGAGTAAAGTAAAGCCCATTTCCATATTTTATTTTATTGGTGGTGGTAGTAGTAGTAGGATTTTCCTAAGGGAGCAGTCACTCATCTAATTAACCCAGCTTTTCCCCACTGAAGTCTTTTTGAATGCTGCAGGGCTATTCTAGAGTGAAAGGTTATCTGCTGCTGCATTATTAGTATGTTTAAGCTGCAATCCTATATCCACTTACATGGGAAGAAGCCCCGTTGAGCTCTTTGGGACTCAGATCTGAGCAGTCATGCATACGATTGCTCTGTCAATAAGCATGTTGTAGTGCATACTCTTAATACATGATGTAATGCCTAGGATGTTGGGTTTAATTTTAGTGGTTTAGGTTCAAATGCTTCCTGATTCTGGATCACACATGCAGGTCTACCACTGGTTGTTGTTGTTGTTTAGTTGTGTCCGACTCCTCATGACCCTATGGACCAGAGCACACCAGACACTCCTGTCTTCCACTGCCTCCCGCAGTTTGGTCAAACACATGTTAGTAGCTTCAAGAACACTGTCCAGCCATCTCGTCCTCTGTCTTCCCCTTCTCCTTGTGCCCTCAATCTTTCCTAACATCAGGGTCTTTTCCAGGGCATCATTTGATGATTTTGCGAACATTGAAAAATAAGGTTGACATGAAGCTTCTATCTGTACTGTATTTTCTCTGATGGCTCTTTCATGCAGACCATTTGCTTGATTTTGTTCTCATCAAGTGCTTAGGTTGCGTTTGAAAATTCATCTTTAATCATTAAATAGAAGGAGTAAACATTGAACAAGTCACTGTCTCAGGCCAAACTATGTTATAGGGTTGATGTGAAGATAAAATACAATAGGGTTAGGTATGCCATAATGTTACCTGAACCTTTTGTACAGGACATCAAATGAGAACATGCTGCATTAGACCTGCCTTTAACTTTGCTATGGCCATATCATACGTAACACTATTTTTAAAGCTGTTCTTGCCGACTGCAATGATTTGTCATTTCCACAGCATGCTAAATAGCTGAACTTTCGGGTTCTCCATAAGCCCTTCAGGTGCTTTGATCTTTGAGTTCCGTAATAGCATCAGTAGGAGTGTTTTAATTACTTTTTCTCTTCATGGCTGAAGAAGATGGGTTTTTCTTCCTGACAGTACTCTATACGTACCTTACACGTTCCTTTTGATCAAGTCATAGATGCTTGGGCGTGACGCCAGCGTCATTCTGCTCTTTCTTATATACACGCAATAAATCACCAGCTGTGAACTTTTCCCCTGCAGATCTAAAGTAATACTAGCCTGACAACTGGTGTTCATTTACATCATGCAAATTTAAAAGTCACCCCACCCCCCTGATCTAAATTCAGAATATCTTTTCTACTCTTTGCTTCAGCTAGCAAGCTCTTTCAAAGCAGACTTGCCATATGCTACTCTAGGCTGTTTTTCGGGTTCAGTCATTTCTCCAATTACCAGTGCACAGAAAGGCGACATTTGGTTAGGGCTCTAGTAGTTCATGGCAGAGTCCTGGGAATCCCAGCAATGAAAGCTTTGTCAAGAGGGTAGAAATGTAGTTCTTATGATTGTAGGTGAAAAGTGAGAAAAAATGTGTTTTAAAAGTTAGTTTGCTCTTGTGATGAACCCATTGTCCTGCCTGACATTGACATATTTGGGCCTAAAACTTATTGGGTGCTATTCAACTAAGTAAACTTTATAAATTATTAGACCTGACTTGGTAATATTGAATAATTTCAATGGATCTTAGGTAAATACCACTGATGAGGAATGGAAATCTGCACATTTCTGGCACATTCTCTTTTTGAAGTCCCATGCCAAATAATTGACAATACAGTTGCTATTAACTCAAATATTTTGTTTAAAATATGATCTATTTATTTCTTATTTACAAAATGTCAGTACTGTACTCAACACATCTTAGAAGTATCTTCTTTGGCGATCACTTGTAGCCAGGTAAGACTGTCTTCCATGAACACGGTCTTGATGTTTTCATCCCTTTCGTCCTGAGTTCATGCTTCTTCAAAGTCCATGGCACCTTTGGTAGAGGCTATTCTCCATTTGGAGCTCTTGCAGGCCAGTGTTTCCCAATTCTCTGTATTTATACTGCATTTTTTAAGATTTGCCTTGAGAGCCTCTTTAAACCTCTTAGTTGTCCACTAGTATTTCTCTTTCTATTCTTAAGTTGGGAATAGAGTAGTTGCTTTGGAAGATGATAATCAGGGATCTGAACAACATGACCAGTCCAACAAAGTTGATGTTGAAGAATCATTGCTTCAACACTATTGATCTTTGCTTCTTTCAGTACACTGACTTTAGTTCGCTTTTACTTAGGAGTATAGTAATATAGGTGAAGGATGCCACTCAGTGAAAGTTAGGCTTCCTTGTTCTACCAGAGCCACTGGGAGATAAGCATGCCCACTAAGTTAAGCTGGATAAGCCTAGTTTTTCTATAATGTAGCAGGATCAGCCCCAAAATATAGAAGATTACAATTCTATGCATGTTTGCATATTAAGAATCAATCTTCATATTACTTTAATACCCTTTTAGTTTCTAGAACATGGTGCTAAAGATTCATGTACTATTCTATTCTACATGAACATAATCCTACAGAATTGAGGGACCATTTCTTTGGGCTGCCGTTGGTCCTGGCTCTAATAATTGAGCTGCCTTCAGGATGCTCGCCTTCAGGGCTAACACAATTGCTCTGAGAATGCTCCACTGTTCAGGCACCAATTAATCTCCCTTCATGGTATCACCTGAATCAGACCATTTCAACCTGATGCATAGCAGGCTGCTCCTAGACAGTATCTGTATCACCAGCTGCCCCCAAGTCCATCTGCAGCTCTTTTGCTTCCTCTGTCTAGTCTAGAGGGCACAGCCTGGAATCTGGACCATATTGCCAGAAACTAGAATAGGCTGCCACACAAATCTTCATATTCTTTTAACATATAGTGCTCCTGTTTGTGGATTATAATTGCAAGATGCTTTGTCTGAAATCTTGGCTAAAAAGTGAGATAATAAATATAATGACTAAATGAAGCATAAAACACACACACATATTGCAAAATCCATTATGGACTTGAACACAGTATTCTTGAAGTCACTAGCTCACAGTGAAGAAGTGGGTTGATGCACCACTATGTGAAATTTTCAGGGTTTATGTTAAATTGGTTAGGGCCATTCTTTACACTTGCTTATTTCCCTTTTGCCAATCACTGACTTGCATTCTCACCTATTGTTGGTGACATGTTCAACCAAGCATTCTGAGCGTTTTCTCCCATTGCATTTTGAGATAATAGGCTTTGAATCACCCCTCTTCTTCCCATTTAACAGACTGAAATATTGATTCCAATCCAGCATTGCAATGGGTTGGACTAGATGACCATTGGGTCCCTTCTGATTCTACAGTTCTATTATTTGATAACATAGACTGTGCTAAACCTGCCAACCTAGCAGTTCGAAAGCACGTCAAAGTGCAAGTAGATAAATAGGCACCGCTCTGGCGGGAAGATAAACGGTGTTTCCGTGCGCTGCTCTGGTTCACCAGAAGCAACTTAGTCATGCTGGCCACATAACCCGGAAGCTGTACGCCGGCTCCCTCGGCCAATAAAGCGAGATGAGCGCCGCAACCCCAGAGTCGGCCACGACTGGACCTAATGGTCAGGGGTCCCTTTACCTTTACCTTTACCTAAACCACATAGAGAATTCTTGCTGATGCTTAAGCACCTGATCATTACAGAGTACAATCCTTTGTGATGGTTTACTTCTTTCAGTGTTGATTTATTTATAACACAGTTTTAATGACTCCAGACAAATTATCCAAGCATTGGCAGTCCTTCTTCATCCTCCTCTCAAATGTGACTGCTCCAAAGGCTGCTTGCCATGCAACCAATTACAGTATAAGATGCCCACTTCAGCAGCCAATTAGCTTTCAAGCGACCTAGTCCATCCCATTTTGCTAGGGCATCAAACTATACTGAGGGCAAAAAAGGCAAGGTCACTTTTACTTTTATGCAACACACACATATACATAGCACCA